GGTAAACATCACTTAAAGATCTCTCAATCTCAGCATCACCGCATGCAACGCTTCGCACTCAGCTAGGTGAACAGACAATGCGTTATAACTTCACACTCCGACGATCTCACGTAGCCAGATAGGCGTGTTATTTCCACCCGAGGCCGGACGCGTCCGTTCAACGTCCCCCCCCCCCCTGAGTCGCGCCAGGCCTCAGCCCTCCCCCCCCCCCCCCTGCTGACCCTCCGTTGCCTCTGCGGACCGTTCAGACGTCAGCGTGCAGCCGGTGCCAGGCCGCCGTCGCAAACGAGCCGCCAGAGCCAGGCGCGTGACGTCACAGAATGAGCCGCCAGGGCGTGGTTGTGACCGACGGCCGACGGAGGCGGGGCGGGGTAGCCTCGGTCCACGAGCGGCTGAGATGTGTCACGTTGGTGATGGAGCACATGCCCGAACGTGGTGACGGCAGCGTTGGGTTCGACCCTGCAGTCACGGACAGGGAGGCAGGGAGGGAAGGGAGGCGCAGAGGAAGGACAGAGGGAGGGGAAGAGGGACAAGGATAAGGAGGGAGGGCGGAACGGTTTGAGGAAGGGAATGAAAAGGAGAAGGAAGGACGGAAGACAAGGAGCGAGAAGGCCAGGATGGACAGGGATAGGAAAATACGGAGGGATGGAAGGAGACCAGAAAAGAGACGGCAAAAGACTTGCAAGACAAAGGGAGAGCGGGAAAAAGGCATAGAGAGAGCAAAAACGGGTGAGAAAGGGCGAGAGATAGCGGGAACAGCTAGACAAGGGAGGAGAAGTAGGAAAGGGGTGCGTGGCACGAGGAAACAGAGGAACAGCGAATGAGTAGAAGTAAACGAACAGACAGGCCAGAGCGGCAGCACACGGAGCCAGACAGAGAAACAAAACGGGCGAAAAATTCACATTTTACTTATGTCTTTGAGAAGTAACCCACATTTAAATCGCAGGTACATGTTTCGGGTTGGTCAGCACGTGACAATAATGAGGGAAATATATTTCGGCCAATAGTCACGAGCTGGTGGCTTCGTCATCTAAGCTGCTACAATGCCTCCCCACGTCAAGTATCCTAGCACTCTTGTTTATTAAAGGGAGCGCCCCACTTTTGGGGCATATTTCAAAACCAGCCTTTTGTGAAACCTCAGGGACTAGTCGTGTCTGATTAAAGCACTGGGTAGCGTCGCTACAACGCCGACAATACTTCATAAGGATATCAATCTTAGTTACTTTTTAGTTCAAATTGCTCTGGCAATGCTTTATAACAACACTACGCTGCCTCCCTGTGGTCGCGAATACCGTCGTCATAACAATGGCCTACGCACCTCTACTGGTGCGAATAAAAAGAACGTTTGTAATTGGGCCAGCGGGCAACGGCTCATTGTCGAGAAGCGCACAAGTTGACGTTTGAGCCAGTGCATCAGATGGATCACGTGATACTCCCACTCCCCCAAGCCAGTGTTCCTCGAAAAGAGCCAATTCGGTAAACGCCATAGGGAACAAATCAATGTCATGTTAGAACGTTTCGTTGAATTTGGGTGCCAATAGTTTCATGTTTGCATATATATTTTTTTACTGAACGGAGTGTTATAAGCTTTCGAGCATTTCTTACACGGATGAGTAGACACATAAGTGTGTTGCAACAATTACAGAAGACATATGGTGGAAGAACTAATATAAATTAAATGTATTACTTTCATAATGGTGAGCAGGGAGTGAAATGAGATTTCTCCGGCGGGATCGGCTATTTCGAATCTAAATTATAACCTATTCGGAAGGATTTCGAGGGAACCGGTATTGCTGATAAAATCGTACGCGTCAAGTTTTACAATAAGTGAAATGTACGAAGAAAATAGAATGCTCCCTTCAACACGCGCCAGGGTGACCAGTTAGATACCCTTCGCTCGGATGGAGGGGGGTCAATTTGACCCCCCTGAGATCTCGGGAACTAGAAAAGCTAGAGACACAAAATTTACCGAGTGTCTTGACCTGTACGTGCACTCGCTTAGGTCAAATTTTGAGCTTCTTAGGTCATGACCTTCAGATCAAATAAGGTCAATAAGGTTCAATTCCAGGTTGGTCTCCAATGTGCCCCCAGAACCTAGGCAACTGCTTCTAAGCAAAAGCAAGCCCATTTGAGGTCAGTGACCTTGTTTGACCTTTTCAAGGTCATGGCGACCAAAATGATACAAGACTGCTCTGAGTTTTGCATTTGAATAAGCGACAAAGATTACGCTAGCCAGTATGTTCCTGAAGCAGAATGTCGACTCAGGTCATCTTAGGTCAATGACCTGTTCCGACCTGTAAGAAGTCAATGGAATATGTATAATGCGGTTCCTGCTGTCAATAGATTCGAAATGAGCACCAGAATCTATCCCATACAACAAGCCCTAGAATAATAAATCAGGTTCGTTTTGAACTTGGTCTGACCTTCATACCTGACCTTAGATCAACGTTATTTCCTCATTCAACATTTGTGGTGCCTAAGAAAGCATCTCAGAGATGTATGGCTTCGTCAAACACTCCGTTATTGTATCAGATTGGATGATTCCCTAGAAATTGCCTTCGCTGAAACCATGGTCTGACTTTGACCTGTCATAGGTCAGTGACATTACCAGGTACATCTAAATTTTCTTATGTCAAACGATCCGCTATTCAATTGTCTACAGCTAGGCAAAGTTTGGTGCGGCTACGCCGCACCGTTCAGAAACCATTTTGGAAAAACCCTCGGGGGGGGGGGTCAACTTGACGCCCACCCGAGCGCGTGTTAATAGTCATGAGCCCACGCGAACTCTGTTTTCAACCCAGTGCGCGAGATTTACAACTACAACCTGAAACATCTGTTACATAACGCCGGAAAAGCAGCAGGAGAGAATAGGGGGAGCTGCATTAGTTTTTACTTTGAGCTCCTTTCTGCTGAAACTGCTGAGGGCAGGACTAAGATTCTTCTATCGGCAGATAGCCATTACTGTCGGCTTTATATGCAGCGGTCACGTTTTGAAGCGCACATCTTCATTTTTGATCAATGTTTTCTGAGCGACCCGTTTTTAAATGGGACAAGCTGTCCACCCCGGGGTAAACTGTATCATATAGCGGAGATGTTGTGCTTTTTTAACGGTTGTTGCACCTCAAAAAGTTGCACCTCAGGCAATCTAAATGGCTTACGACATGTATATTCAAGTCGCTGGTCTGTGCTATTTCGTAAGTTGTCATGAGTTCGACATGACAAACGTTTGCCCTTTTAATCAGTCAGTATTTGTTTTGCGACTACTGCCACCTCGGTTTGGGTTGCTCAGGTCGAATTATGGATCTACATAGGTAAATGTCGAATTGTTGTATAGATGCCGATGAGTCCAGGCAATGATGTCAGTCAATCATTGGCATAAAGTCAGGCTTTATAATACTGTGGGCACATTGCATCAACGAAACAACATGCCCCAAGCGCATCTGACACAACAGTATAACCCGACATCTTGGAAGGAGGTCCGCACCACCCTGAAACCCTTCACTAGCAAATGCTAAATGCCTTGCAGTATGTACGACACATGCACTTCATCATCACTCAGCAAAACATTCAAATTAGCCTAGTCAACGATAAGCAAAAAGAGATTTGTCGCACTCATGCCAAGACGTCTGCACTTATGCGGCCGGACCTACACTGAATCACAGAGTAGCTACTGCGCGTAAGCTAGAAAGAACCCAAGACTGTAATCCGTCGCATTAAGTTGGAATAAATCACCCTGATGTGAATTAGACATTATACCCCACTCTCCCCTACCTCCTGGTGTTTAAGAACGACTATTGGTACATAAAAGCTGCAAACTCCTAATGCCAGATGAATTAGTCATTTCAGTCCTACCTCTGCTTGCTGTTCTTTGAACGTGAGACGGATGTCTTACACATGAGACGGAGATGAAAAGCGATTGACAACTTCCTTGCCGAAATGCTTGTTTCTTCCAGAAAAACTTAGCATGAAAGAAGCTCCTGTGCTGATATTTCTGACAGGATTTATTTGCATGAGCATCGGAGCGGCACTGATATCGCAGAGTATTTTTACTGTAAGTCGTGCAATTGCCAAAAACTGACATCCGTGCGTGCGGGAGGCAGTTTGATGGCAGTTGATGGCAGGGAGGCAGTTTGAGGCACACACACACACACACACACACACACACACACACACACACACACACACACACACACACACACACACACACACACACACACACACACACACACACACACACACACACACACACACACACACACACACACACACACACACACACACACACACACACACACACACACACACACACACACAACACACACACACACACACACACACACACACACACACTATCCAGCTCATGAGGTTCGAAAATAGCTGCGAAGTACAGCGCCAGGAAATTAATCTGAACTACTACTACACGGTCAGGTAAATAATGATGCGAGCGATAATGACACCTGCAAGTAATCGATAACAGGACAGCCTCCAATACAGAAAAATAATCGGGACACCGCTTTTTGCCGTTGGTCTTAGGCATGCACATTGAAGCAAGAGTCTGGATTTCCGTTTCCTTCGCTTAGAAAAGGATCGCGATGCTCGGCTGGGGGGGGGGGGGGGGGGGGGCTGCAGCCGGTATCAACAACCACACTCGCACTCACAATTACACGGCGGCGGTGCGATTCCTCCCGCGTATGCCACTGTTAACTGAGATACGGTCTCAGGGTGTCATGGTTGGTGGCGTTCCATTTGCACAGAAGGAGCTGAACGACCCATATTGGGCTGGTTCGCGAGGGGGTCACTGTGTATAATTTGGAGGAATCCATCCCCTCAATAATATTATGTTCTAAAATCAGGTCATTGGTAATGCGCCGAAAGAACGGTCACTTCAAGTCCAAGTCACGTCGGCCTCCCCCCCCCCCCCCCCCCGACCGCTAGCTGACACATTCTGCAGCTATGCCAGGGCGCTGGAATCTCGTCGACAGGTCAAACCGGTGACCTACCAGGGGCAGGCTCATCAAACAGCTGCGGCCGGAGCGCTGGCTCGTGCTCCGGGGTCATGACCTCCGGGGTCAGCGCCACGTCCGCTGCAGGGGAGGCCACCTCCTCCTCCGCTGCAGAAAAGGACAGAGTATCAAGCCCAGAAGTTCCCGTCCATCCGTTTGAAGGCAATGCACAAAGCATCTCAAAAGCTGCAAGGTCTTATACATTCTTGCGCACCTTTGAATGACAGTAAAGCACCACACACATTCATTTTGGAGGCAGGACATCCTGCTACACATGAACATTTGCAAACGGCTATGACAAAACGTCTCCTGTTCCTGATAACAAAATCGAAGAACAAAACATAGTTGCATTAAAAAGTCGGTTCTGAGAAGGAAATGATTATGAAGCTCTTCCAAGCTCCTTCCATTGTTTAGAAGGAAGGAGCCATCCCTTGCACATACACGTCTTATACGTAACACTCAAATATTAAACGCCTGCCATCACCAGAAGACACAATTCCCACCAACCCTCCCTCCATCGTGTCAGACGTAGTGCTGAACCGTTCCCCAGCTGACCACAAACGCCTTCAGCTGCCTCGCCAGGCTCCAAAACCCGCCCAAGCCAACACGAGGCCCCAGACGCCTGAGCGAACTCACGTTTGAAGGCCCGCGCTGCCTCGCCAGGCTCCAAAACCCGCCCAAGCCAACACGAGGCCCCAGACGCCTGAGCGGACTCACGTTTGAAGGCCCGCGCTGCCTCGCCTGGCTCCAGAACCCACCCAAGCCAACACGAGGCCCCGGACGCCTGAGCGAACTCACGTTTGAAGGCCCGCGCTGCCTCGCCTGGCTCCAGAACCCGCCCAAGCTAACACGAGGCCCCGGACGCCCGAGCGAACTCACGTTTGAAGGCCCGCGGCTTGGCTTGTTTACGCCTCGTCATGGCTGCCGGCGGCGACGAGCCTGCTCAGCGACAGGACGGCCTCGTGCGCGCCAGCAGGTCCACGTGCGGGCAACACCGGACCGACGCGCGGGCGACAGGCGGGCGCGAGCCCCGACACGAGCGACACAGCGCGACACCGGTCGAGCGCGGAGTCCGGACCACGTGCAGCGTCACTGGCGGCGACAGGCGCGCGGGCACCGCCGGACCGCAGACCACGTGCGGCGACACTGAGACAGCAGCGCCGCGCCGGCCGCGTGGACGACGTGCAGCCGACGAGGAGCGGCGTACCTCAGCGGCCCGCACGACGCGCCGGCGCGTGGTCTGGCGTCAGAGGAACCGGTCCGTCCGCGGTCCTCAGCAGCCGCCCCACGAAACACAACGCCAGCAGTTGGTCAGCTGCTGAGATCCCCAGCTGTCGGTCAGCTGCTGAGGTCCCGCGAGGCTCCGTCGGCATCGGCCAGGCGGCAGGAGCTACCACTGACGAGGCTCAGCAACCAGGCGGTGCCCGGCCGCCGTCACGTGACAGGCAGAAGAGCGGTACGTGGAGCGTCGCAGTTTGACCGCGTCACGAGCCGCTGACGACGCCCTACCCGGCGCACCGCGAGCTGCTGACGCGGTCAGCCGCCCACTGCCTTCCGACTCCTCTGCTGCCGGAGAACACCGGCCCCTGAGCAGCTTCGAGTAACAGGCGTGCGCCGCGCGGTGACGGCGGCGGCAGGGGCGGCCGGCGCGGCCTCCGTCGGTCGACTGCCGCGCGCCGTCAGGTGGCCGCTGGCGCGCCGTGCCCGGCCCCGCCCCCTGGGGACGGGCCCCCCGCGGCCAGGCACTCCCCGGGGCGCCGCCGCCACACAGCTCAATCATGTCCGGGCCGACGGGGGCGGGTTGCAGCGCCAAGCGCTGCCGACACACACACACACACACACACACACACACACACACACACACACACACACACACACACACTCTCTCTCTCTCCTCTCTCTCTCTCTCTCTCTCTCTCTCTCTCTCTCTCTCTCTCTCTCTCTCTCTCTCTCTCTCTCTCTCTCTCTCTCTCTCTCTTTCTCTCTCTCTCTTTCTTTCTCTCTCTCTCTCTCTCTCTCTCTCTCTCTCTCTCTCTCTCTCTCTCTCTCTCTCTCTCTCTCTCTCTCTCTCTCTCTCTCATACATACACCCGTGCACTCTCTCTCTGCCAATCATCTGCCTCTCTTCTCTCACCTCCACCTTCGAAAGGTGAGGGAAGTGGGATTGCCGCGGAGTCTGTGGGACACGCATTAGGCCGCTGATACCTCCGCTTCCGCGGCGATTTGGCCGCCTAAAAGGCCAAGGCTGCTCTCTGCCGACTCTTCCCATCTCCCGGAATGTCCCCAGCGGCCAGTGACCTCAGGACTTCTTCAGCGTATCTCTTTCCATCGACCCTCAGGCGGAACCAGGCAGGTCGGATGAGGCACCATGATGCGGAATGTTCCTTCGCAGATCCGTCAGGAGGAGCAGTCATCTCAGGGGCAGGCATCACTCCGTCGATCCCTCAGGGAATTACTGACGGCTGGGCCGTGCTATCGGTCGCTCAGGGAGTCCCCGACGGTCGTGCGAGGTGGGTTAGCTGAGAAGGTCCCTCTGCTGATCCTGCCGGAAGTCCCCACAGCGGCTGAAGCGAGCGGCGCCGGGGTCACGTCGCGGTGTGTGACCCAACCCTGTTGGAACTGCGGTGGCTACCTTCAGCTGAACCGACCAGACGACTGACGGGGTTACTGACGACTGACGAGTGACGAGGCAGCACAGATCGGGGTGGATTGCTGTTGTTATGTGATGACGTGGTGGGTGCCTGGCCGAGTTGCTGGCGGCATGTATGCCGAAACAATGGCTTATGACTATGGGGATGTACCGTGAAGTATCAAATTGTTTTTGGACTTGTTGGTAGGCTATCAGCATCATGCCAGTAAGTGGTACTTTATGGCATATCTGGTCAACTGCTAGCGGACTGTACACAACAATCAAACTCGCTTGTGACTAATGCGTCACCCGATTGGTTAGCTTGTTCACAGAAGCTGGCAGAAGCAGGCGAGAGCTCCTGCGTTCTGGCAGCAGCAGCGCAACAGATCAGAGAGTGTTCACCGTCGACAGGCAGCGTGTCGATGACGTTACGCTGTCGCTGGGTAGCACATGGAGCGTAACGGTGCCGCTCAATATTAACGACCCAAATGTCATGATTGGTGCAGGAAGCAAGGTGATGCGGAAAGTGAGTGGTTCACCGTGGGAGAAGTTCTGTGAAATTTAGAAAATGCTCTCATAGAGCGCGACAAAACGGCATTGCTCTCAATATTATCGCGATTTACTGGGCAATGGTGATCGACGGTATGCGCCTCACACGTCGGCACTTTTACAATGGCGGGAGGCACTTGTTCGGTCTGCGTTGCTGTTGTCGGTGTCAACCCGGTGCACACGCAGGATTTCTCTGGGGGGGGGGGGGGGGCGAGGGGCCAAATTGTTCAAAAGGAAACCATATATATTTAGGGGCTATTCAAATATTCCATTTACAGCAGCAGCACTTTTTATACTTTTGGCGGTGGGCGGGAGGCGAGCCCCTGACGCTGGCTTGAACTACCAGTGCTCCTCTCCCCAATGAATATAGGCAAAAACCTCTCAAATGCTAGTGCACTTGTTAATTGAGGATACCACTTTTAGTTCCGGCTTATTTTACCCCATAGTACCCTGTAGGTACCTTATGTGCCTTTGTCATTCCGACTCGTCGATATGTTGTTCCTGTCTGCAAATACTGGCGGTTTGTCACAAAATATGACATGAATCATATTCGACAGCCCAAAAGAAATGGACTGCAATATTCCGCAGCTTTTAGAAAAAAATGGCTGATTTTAAGATAGGCAGGTCCTGCAAGCTCGAACAATTACTTATCATGAATGTCACACTTCAAGAACATTTTACGAACATGACGAGCGTTCCAGTCATTCCGGCTCTCACCTTGGCTCCTGTGTAATGGGCACCACGAGCATGCCCGAACCTCCAGCCCATGCAGGGGATTCGGACCCTCACGTCCCGTCGCCCATTACGCGGTACTGCGCTAACGCCTGCGCGAGATACAGGCCTGTAAACTGAAAGGGTTCGGTGACATGCACCGAGTAAAGGCATGACAAAAAACTTGCCGGCAGGTGACAGCGTTAACCACGACGACTAGAAAACTTTCCAAACGTATGTAACTAAGCGACACTGCTCAAAATCGTGTCAAGCTGCTCAAAAAGCCCAGAGTGGGAGCGTCCGAGTCCCAAGACATGTTCAGCCCGGGGAGAAAATTACGACTGCGCCACAATTCCTATATTCTGCGACCCGCGTGGTCTTACTGTTGCAAACAATTGTGCCTTGTAGTTGGCATATAGTTGATGCATCATGCTCCACTGCCACGTATCAGACTGTCATGTGCTCACCTAGCGGTGTCAAGGCTATCCTTAAATGTGCGTCTCCAAGGTGTTGGAAAAACTGGTCACGAACACTCCGTTTCGTTTTGCCTTCATACGAAATCCATGCAGTGGATGGGGCCGGGCGGAGGTTACAAGGTACAGTGCATCCTGCATTAGATAGACACCTTGTATGCTGCACACTTTCGTATGCGTTTCTCTTTCAGCCGATTACTACACACGTGGCGAACCTTAATCCCAGCAAGTTGCGCTGTGATTTCGAGTGTCGATCGAACCGGCATGGCCTAGCACCAGCTTTTTTTAGTTCACACTCTGAACGACTTTCCAGCTTCAAACAGTAGTTTTACGCATAGACAATTTGATTGTTTAAACTTTCTTGCACTTCAACGTGAACCTAATGCATTGTTACGAAGGACGTGGGCAAGTTTTGCGATGTGGAGGGAAAGCACAAATGACAACCAGCCGACCCTGTTTTCAAATCGAGAGCGTGTTGCACACGCGGCCGACCTCAGCCGATATCCGGGAGTTTTAGCACAGCCAAGCTCGCAGGACTGAGAACCAGAAGATGAGAGCCCCGCTCTCATTACTCATGGCATAATCACTGCCTTCTTAGTAGTCATGGAGTGCGCTGAAGTGCATCACATTATGACCATGGGTTTATAGCACAGTTCAGTAGCATATTTTTCACCTGACCGCATCGCAAAAAGTTTCAAGGAATGAAAGCAGCACACTTTGTTTGGTGTGCCATAGTGGAAGGAGTGCTGTGTGATATCAAATTATTTTTAGAAGCAATTTGACCATGAAAATAGCTGTTTAACGTTGAACTTACTCGATACCATTGCTTGTTTCATAAATCTATTTAACCAGTAACTCCTCGCAAAATGTTGGTCGATTATTTCCAGTGAAATTCCCAACTGATACCGCCCAAATACGACGAGCGTGCGGCATTTCTTGCTTATACCAGCTTCACTCATGTCAAAGCACTATTCATTAAGCGTTCATTCTGTAAAACGCCTGGTCACCAGCCTTTGCCCGCCCTGTCTTTCGAGTTATCGCTATGTTTATTCAGGTTGTTCAAGTTCAGTGTGCTTCCTGGTGGTACACATGATGCATTTTCATGGATCGTCCATGGCCAATGTACCATGGGCGCGCTCTTTTCAAGTCTACACGTGTTAAGCCACACCATTCTGCACAAAGCTGTCTTTTTGCGCCTCGGACTAGCTTCCATGAGCGGCAAACGAGACCTATTCCAGCGATCATATCGGCCACTTTACTCAGCTGTTTACAGTGTGCATAAAACCAAAGTCTAAGCTTTTCGCAAAGTTGTAGCCTCTCATGAGCCTAAAATGGGAAGTCATCCTCCGCAAAGCAACCTCTTATCGGCCGAAATTAAAAAAGTCCTTGGCACCGGGAACACAAATTAAAGTGGCCGAAAATCGGGGGAATATATGTTTTGGGGTTAGGGTAGGTCAATATTATCGGTTGCGCCTCCCTTCGGACCGCCTTTAGAAGGGGATCCCGTGTCTGGCTGGCTTGGTTGACTGGGGTGGGATGTGCAGCAGAATGTTGTACTGAAC